GCAGTTTTCGTATGACTGTGAAAAACTCGGTGCCGTATGCGTGCCGTGTCATGACCGAGATGTTTTCTAGAATTTTAATTAGCTACTTTTTTTCTCGCGCAATATGATTGGTCTGGCAGTGCCGTGTCCTTGGCGTGACCGTATCCGCGCCGTGAACGCGCCTTGTTTCGGGCATTTGATTGGATTAAAAGTAAACTATCGCGCAATGTGATTGGATTGGCGCATAGCTTGCCTTGTCATGACCGCGCTCGTGCCGTGAGCTTTTCACAGTCATACGAAAACTACTCTAGGGTGACCCCACTACTAGGGTTACGTCATGCACTGCTAGGGTGACCCTACTGGTAGGGTTAACCCACTGCTAGGGTCCACTCTTTTGTTTTTGGTGTCCTCAAGGAGCGGAAACCAAAAGACTTGTCCCTAGCACCAAGGTCATTCTATTTTTAAAATGCTCAAATTAGTCGAACTAAGCCCAACATTCAATGGGGTCGCGCACCTTTCAACGCATGCTCTGAAACCAATGATTATCACAGACGGTTGTACGAAGCCTGGATAGCGCTATCCGACGGATAAATCTTATCCAGTGGATAAATTCATTGGATAACAGCATCGACCTATTTACTGGATAAGTATTTATCCGCCGGATAGCGCTATCCACCCTTCGTACAACCGGGCCCAAAAAGGACATGCTTAATAGACATATTAAAGCCCTTTTTTCACGACGTTCTTGATAGGTACCACAAACCACAAACTACGATTCGACGTCAGGCGTTCTCCGTCAAACTTCGATACTTAGCAAGGCGTCATAACGAAGTTGTTGCTAGAAAAGCCGCCATTTTGAATTTCATTGATGCCGAGTGTTTCTCCGTGTTTTCGTGCGTTTTTCTGGGCCTGATCTCTAGCGGTTAGCTATAAGCAATTTGCTAAAGGTCTCTAATAAGTAAGCATTACGTTTCGTTTCTTCCCGCAAACGAAAGACATAATCAAGTATTTAATCTTTTCCCCGCATCTCACTCTTTCCCGCCAAAAACAAATATTCATTTATTTATCTATGAAACGGAGATGTTTCCGATTCTTTTTCAATAATTTTTCTAAACAAATTGTTTATCAACTGACCGTTCACCGACACGTTTGTCAGTCGTTAAATACAAGATTCTTCAAACTCCCTAAAAGACACTTGATTCACACCAATTGCTCGTTTACATTAGAATTGAATGACTCTGAAAGACATTGAGCACCTTTTATTGTAATGAATGTCTTAATAACCTTTAAAACGAGTTTAACTTATATGAATAGCTTTAGCCAGCTAGCATTTAAGCTATGAAATAAATTATATATATATATATATATATATATATATATATATATTTTTGAATTTCTTTGCTAACACACGCAATTTATACTTTAGGAATAGGAATATCTTTTTTAACTAAGAATATTTAGCTTGATATGATCTTGTACAGCGCAGGAAAAATTTGATGAATTACGAACTCAGCATCGTCGCGCAATATTAAAATTTAAAAAAAAAATTTTCAATGGAAAAAACACATACCTAATTTGGAACTGGCTGTCAACATGATTTATCATACTTGGTAAAGGCGTCTCACCTGTCAACGATTAAACGTAGAGTTTATAGTGAAATGTGCAGATACAAAAGCGTGAATTTGCTTTGATTCAGGACATCAGTCTGAACTCTTTCATTTCACTGAAGATGACTTCCTAAAATCTAACCATGAATATGTTAGGAAACACTTTTCAAAAACGTTATCATGAAAAAGTTCTTTAACCACTTTGGATGAGCTTTAGATTTTATTCGCGAAAAGAAAATACCAAGAAAGTTGGGATAATAAGTGACGTTTTGAGTGAAAGATTTTGTATGATTGACCAAGCCCTGAGGTGATTGCGGAAGCCAGTAAACTTAACAAGTCTAATGTCAAAGATGAACGCCAGTAGAGAACTTTGTCCGGGGATGACAATGTCTCACAACAGAAACCCAGCATATTTCGACCCTACTACTGGTGTCCTCATCTGTATACTAAACGGTTTACTTGCCGTTCCAACAACTATTCTAAATTTTCTTCTTATCGTCTCTATTCTCTCAACTCCAAGTCTCCGCAAGCCTTCCTTCGTCTTGATCTGTGCCTTGGCTTTCACGGATTTTGGCGTTGGAATCCTGGTTCAGCCTTTGTACATTGCTCGTAAAGTGTCTTTTCTCTTGTCTTCCTTCGAGACGTACTGTTTCCTGCTCAAGACTGGTAACGTGGCTGCACACATTATCATGTGCCCTTCATTCTTTATTGTAACAGCCATCAGTGTAGATCGTTACCTTGCAATCAAACTACAAAACAGATACCACACGTCATTAACCAACATCCATATCCTGGAGTACCTCGCATTTACGATGGTTTGCGCTGGATGCGTTACGTACTCGCGCTTTCAAACGACAAGTCCCAAATACATGAGCATAGCCGCAGCTCTATTGTGCATTTTTCTATCAATCATAGTATATTGCTACTCAAAATCTCTAAAAGGTCTACGAGCAATCCAAGTGCAAGTCCCCAGACGAAGACAAGACTGGTCGAAGAAGTGTAGCAGACACCAACGCGTACTGCAAACCCTGGTCATGATCGTTACTTGTCTGGTTTTCTGCTACGTCCCTTTCGTGAGTGTTATAATAACTATCGCAGTCTATGGACGATCCAAGGAGTTCATGATTGCATGGGAAGTCACACTGACTTTGATGTATTTGAATTCGTTTTTGAACCCTATTCTTCACTTCCTGCGAGTCAAGGAGCTACAACAGGCCTGTATTGCTGTCCTTGGAAAAAGTAAGTAGTGAAAAAAGCGAAAAACATAAAATAAAATAGTCAAATAACTAAAAATTATCTACTTTGTATTTTACTTTGGTATTACTCAGACCGAAAACTGGAAAGAGTACCTAAAACTTTACAAAAAAAAAATTACTCACTTTGAGGTATATGTGAAAAATAATTCCTTTAAGATTTGCGCCCTTCGTGGACTTTGATAGATGGGTTATTGGCTTAGCACAGAACAATATGGAATGAAAACTTTCTTTCGTGCGTTCATGATTCCTTCTTGCTTATTCCTTCTTATTCCTTTATTCATTCATTTCTTTCTTCTTCTCCCTTTCTTTCTTCGACTGCAAGTCAATAATTTTATATCAAATTAATTCAGTCGAATTTTTGCCTTTTCCCAAGATAACTGGTTGAAAGATGAGCACACAGAAGAGACGACTTACATCCCAGGAGCATTTACAATTATGAACCACGCTACAGTCGATGAAAGGGTGAATATAAACTAAAAAATATCTGTAAAAAATATCTGCCAAAATTAGAGAATTCTTTAAATTCAAAATTCAATTTCATATACAAGTTTGTACAAAGAAATTACCTATATAGTGTGAGAACGTATTTGTTTGTTTTATAATGAATAAATTCTCAATTTGCTGGTAAAATACTCCTCGAAAATGTCCTCATAAATTCAATTGAGGATATTTTTTTTCAAAAATAAGTTTGTTTCAAAGATGACTTATATTTTAGACAGCCAACTCTTGTTGTGGTTGAGTCGTAGTTTTTGTCATTCGTTTTGACTGGCATGAGTTTAATAAGATAATAATATAATGTTTATTGGAACGACTTGAATAACAAAAATACAAATTTGAAAAACTCAAGTTTTTTTGTGTTTGCAATTGGATAAAAAGCATAAATAAGTGAGATGGCTGTCGCGAACGTTTTCACTTGCCATATCACCAAAGTAAAACAAAAAGCGATGAAACACTGATTAGACAGCGGAAGAAAAAAAAAAAAAAAAACTTGCCAAAATCTCTACCTGCACGTATCTTCCAGTATTTTATGCTTTTTAAAGCATTTGAACACAAACTCTGTGAAAAAAAAATTAAAAATTGAGGTCTAATTTTCTTCTTATAATTTTTTAGGAATTCGTTAGCAAAGAGCCATGAAGAAAGCAAGAAAGTTCTATCATTAGACGTCATTCTCTTGTCAAGACATACGTAATCTTATTGTCATTACAATTTTCTAGGGATTTGTTAGCAAAAAACCATGGAGAAAGCAAGAAAGTTCTTTCATTAGACTTCATACAAGTCTCTTAGTTTCAAGTTTACAGATGTTTATGACAAAGTAAATTAATACTGATTTCGCTTCACGCATATACGTTGAGTGTGTAGCGTTCAATTGACGAAAGAAAACCTCTTGAAAGTTATCAATGAAGTTGAAGCGCTGAGCTAGCTTGTGAAAATCTCGAGGAAATCCGTTCGATGCTTTTCAACTTTGAAAAATAAAATATACGATTATTTTTACGCACTGAATATCTATTTCGGTGTCTTTTATGAAGTCAGGGCATTATTTAGAGTTTAGTGCTCCAGCTGTATTCTTGATGGGTTCTTCTAGCCTTGAGAGCTTTGATGAAAGAGTGTAGAGAGAAAAAAAAACTAATTTGAAAATTAAAAGAAAACATGATAAAATGAATTCGCATTTATCTTTTTAATCATGACAGCTTTTTCATTTAGGTTAATTTATTTATCGACTGTTATGGATGGCAAATGTCACGTAGTTGGTAGGATGGCATAAATGAACGAAAATACACAACGCCAAAAATAAAGAATTTTTTAAAAAAGGGCGAAAAGAAAATACGAATTTATGAAAGAGAAAGAAAGAAAAAGGCTGCACTAAAATGGCTTTCAAGTCCCGTTTCTCTCGGGATTCACGCGGGACAAACGGTTCTTCATTAGTTCGTAAACACATCAAATGACATGGCGTCATTTTGTTTTAAAAACGAGAGTCCGTTTGATGATTTTATTCGCACCATACTCGGAACGTTAAAAGACATAGACGAAGATCGTGTTAAATTAAAGCAATATGCTTGAAGGAAATATCCAAAACGACTTTCGAAACTCTGCGATTTCTAACGCGACACCAAAAAAGGTCAGTTGATACCAATCATTTTTTTTATTTATTATGAATAAATATTGAACAAACTTTACATCAAACCCTAATAAAAAAGACGTTAGAAGCTCAACAAAGTGCTCGTTAATATAATAAATCATAACTTACTTATCCAAATGGTTAAATAACATATCACAATAGATTCAACTCTTGAATATCTGTACGTTTTTCGGTTCGACATTTGATTCTGATGCGCGAGGATTTTCTCAGAATTGCTCGAGCAATTTGGTCTGAAGAGATCAATTCACTAATCTATACTCTTTAAAATCAATGAAGAGCCTACAAATTAAAATAGTTTTTAACCTAGATTTTGTTATTAGACGAGAAATATATGATTATAAAACTCGACGTCACGCTGACTATCAGGAATCAGGAATAAAATGTTTTCAATCGAGTTTTCAACGGTTTTAAGCATTTTAAAAATCGTGCGACAATTCTTTGAAGATGATAAGCTCGTCTAAAACTGAGGTGGGATTATTCTTAGGCTAAGACTTTATTTATTTGTATTTTAACTTTGTTTTAAAACCGTATATTCTTGGGTATCATACAGAAAGAAACACCTCGCAAGGAAATAAAGTGTCTTCATGTCTCAAGTACTGGTATCTCCCCTCAGGCATCAGCAGATTTGGTTGATATAGGAGTTAAGATTACTAACTGTTCAGGCATTGAAAAGGCAAAGGACTTGTGTAAGAATGAAGTGTTTGGGGTAATCTTAGTGGAAGGGCTTGAAGAGGAGAACAAAGATTTTATCACGAATTTGAAGTAAGTCATTAGTGATGATGATTTGTAATGGTCATGATGATGATGAGGATGATGTTAATGATGGTGATGATGATGTTGAAGATGGAAATGATGATATTGTTGATGGTGATGATGATGTTGATGATGATGATGTTGAAGATGGTGATGATGATGTTGAAGATGGAAATGATGATATTGTTGATGGTGATGATGATGTTGATGATGATGAT